TGCGCGAACTTTGAATTATATTTGTAAAAAGTTAACTCGCGTTGTATACAAATCGTCTCATGGGGCGAACAAGGTGTTATATAAAAGGGTACATATCTATGCTTATTTTATTTCTCATGGGGATAAACGCCCACGAGACATTCATTCCCCCGTCCTCTTTATCCCAAGAGAGCATTTGGCAGCCGCCCCCTGTAACATCCTACAACCGTTTATCTCGAAATTATATTATGTATCGCATGTCTGGTAAGTGTTTTCAGTCATTGAAAACTACTTTTACCTTTTGCCATCCAGTAAATAATATACACACAGTCAAATCTAAGCATATGTTATGTAATCAAGTCACAAATCACGTCCCATATTAATGTCTTTTATGTAAACACGAATTTTTACAAACTCACGAGACAAAAGAACTTTGGCTGAATGATTTTTCGATATTTAAAATAACAATTTACATAGTTGGAGTAGTTATGAAATAAATTTTAAAAATAATATTGCTATGGATTAATTACCAATAATTTAATGGAAAATGTGACGGATTCAAATTTATAGAACTAATAATCTCTTCAAAACTTCTCCAAAAACAACATATAAAATTGTCTATCACCAAAAAATAAATATTAGGTAAAAAAGAACATATTACGTCAAGACCTTTTTAATAATACCAAATTTAACTTTAAAAAACTTGATTTTATCATAAAAATCCCGCATGGAGAAATATATATGTCAAAAATATATGTCGCATATATTTACGCAAAAAAAAATATGTCAACATATATTTTTCACATAAATGCTGAAATATATGCAGAAATATATGCTTACATATATGTAAGCATACACTGAAAAAAAAATTTCTAAGTTTGAGAATTTTTTTACTCAAATCAAAAAAGTTAAATTTTTCAAAATTATTTTCTTGATTCAAGTTAAATTTTTTTCTGTGAATCTCTAGATATTTATATGCGCACATATATGTGAACATATATGTAGACATATATTTAGCGCAAAAAAAATATATGTGAAAATATATATTTGCATATATTTTTCGCATATATGTTTTTCCATGCGGGATACGCTAGAGAGAAAATTATCTTTACTCTTAATTATATAGATCAAAATGTAAAAGGAAAACTTGATTTTATCATAAAAATCCCGCATGGAGAAATATATATGTCAAAAATATATGTCGCATATATTTACGCAAAAAAAAACTATGTCAACATATATTTTTCACATAAATGCTGAAATATATGCAGAAATATATGCTTACATATATGTAAGCATACACTGAAAAAAAAATTTCTAAGTTTGAGAATTTTTTTACTCAAATCAAAAAAGTTAAATTTTTCAAAATTATTTTCTTGATTCAAGTTAAATTTTTTTCTGTGAATCTCTAGATATTTATATGCGCACATATATGTGAACATATATGTAGACATATATTTAGCGCAAAAAAAATATATGTGAAAATATATATTTGCATATATTTTTCGCATATATGTTTTTCCATGCGGGATACGCTAGAGAGAAAATTATCTTTACTCTTAATTATATAGATCAAAATGTAAAAGGAATTTTTTCTATGTAATTTTTGTAAAAAATGTTATGTATTTATCCATTGTAGTGTAAATATTTTTTTTCAAATGAGCAATATCCTCATTAAAGTTGATATTTAGTTCGTTCTTTGAAATTCAATTCTGTCAAAATAGTTGGCTTAATATAATAAAGATGTAAAAAATTCCAAAAATCGATTTCAAACAGAAATATTCTGTAGGATTTCCTGTAATTAATATACCTATCTCTGGAAATACATATATTAGTATGGTACATGAAATTTGTGGTTTAATATATATGTGGAAATGTATAGAGGAGTGAGGACGCCGGCCACACGCTGCCATGGGAATACACAGAAGCCATAAGAAATTCGATACCGTTCCCGTCGACTTCGCGGCCGTTCCGCAGTGGTGGTGCTTCCCACTTCCTCTCTCTTCATTATAGTATATATACAAACCAATCTAGTAAACATACATACCATGTCTAAGTGTAAGGATGCGAAGTCTCATGACAACTTTTATATCTTTAAACTGCTGTACTGTGGCAGATTCGCACTAGGCATGATCGCGTCTCGGAAGTTACGATCGAGTGTCATATACGCTCTCTTGCTGTGTGGTTAAATTTATTTTCCCATACCACCCTCTACTGTCAAAATACCACTTTTTCTTTTTTATCCTAATGAAATTTATTTTACTGTCCATCAGCGCAATAAACTATGGAAACTTACAGATAAATCTTATTTTAAAGTAGTCTATAAGCTGTAACCCGAGGTCAAAATACTTATCTATTTTTTTGGAAATGTACCAAAATTACCATTTGTTGAAACACGAGTATCAGATTTTATTACATTGTAGTTGGCTGCGAATAACTTTTGGCAGGAAACCCGAAACCTTTCGTAATAATCATCTTTAAATATATCTTTCAATCAAGCTAACCTAAAATTTTTGACATCGATGATTTCATTTTGTCTACAGACAAATATAGATGCCAAGTTTTATGGCTCAACAATTAATTTGTAGTAAAATTAATCAACTTTGCAAGTTCTCAACTAATTATTAGTGAAATTACTTCCATTTTTTATGGAATAAAGAACAAGAAAAATTGATCATAACCTCTCATTCAAAAAAAATGGAATAATTCTATTATAATGCAATTATACTGTTTGAATAAAAAGCTCAATCTTGTAATTTCCTTTTTTTATTGAAAGAAACGACTTGAGAATTTAAACAAAAAAAATGAAATTTTAAGAGGTTTCTAGACTCCTTTAAACTTTTGAATTAAAACTTTCAACTGATCCTTCTTCAATTAAAAGTGAAGTAGAATTATTAAAAAAGTAAATAGTTAGGTCTTGTTTATAGTTTGAAGCTAACGCTCTCTGATGTTTAAATAATATTGTTCCGCGAATTAAATTTGATAAAAGTTGCGTTCATTTACCCCTTTGAAATTTGTTTCATAACATTGATTGCTGATTAAGCTTAACTTCTGAGAAACGGATTGTTACTTGTTTAAAAATTCCTTTAGTCATAACAATGATAAATAGAATAAAACTTTTAGGCGTATATTCGCATTGAAGACACTGATAAGAATCAATCATTGAATTCTTTTAGTAGTACAACTTAATATGACAACTTTTTATTCATTGAAATATAATATCAAAATAAATTTTACTTTTTTCACTAAAAACGTGAAAAATTATTTTTCTAGCAAGGATTTATTGACTAAAAACATTTATTTAAATGAACGATTTAAATTTATTGCCTTTATTATAATTTATAACAGATAAACATATAAATAGCTCGGCTGCCCAATTTCAAAACACAGTAACTAACATTTCAAAATTTTTTCCAATTTTTCTTATTAAAAAAAAAGTTTACCCGCCAAATTGATGAAAAATTTGATTTATAAATAGAAAATACTTGAATACAAATATTTTTAAGAAAAAATACTTGAAATTAAGGTCTAAAAGTTATAAAAAATACAGCAATATTAAAAAAAAATCACGATATAAAATATTTGCAGTTACTGTATTTTAAAATTGGGCAGCCGAGCTTGACTTGAATTAAGTAAAATAATTTTGATCAATTCTATCAATCGTTCGATAATTATCAATTATATGTTCTTGTGTCAAGAAAATTTTATTAATAGATTTATTTTTTCTTCGCAGTGTACAAAAATTTTGTGTAACAGTTATATTTTACACCACCCACAGTAAGTGTTGGTTCTGCATTTGCATTTACTAGATTAGTTAATTAATGATTAAATCATTTATAAAATTTTTCTTCCCTATCAACTACGATTGAACAATGATGAAATTTTAAGTAAAACTAAAGGTAAGTTGGTATTAAAATTCAGAATTGAGTGATTATATTTAACCTCAGTTTACCATTTCGAAAGACTAAAACATCTGAAATTCCTGCATAACTTTCCTATAAAAATGGAACAGCAGTATATTACTCAAGAATCTCACCCAGTATACGCCTATATATATTCTTAGTGTTTTTCCTGTGTCTCACAAGCAAACGCTGTGGGGGAGATGGTAATGCATTACGTTGGGCTCGACTCAGGTCTAAAATCGGATGTGGAGCAACGACCTTCGGGACAACACGGACCACGAGTTAAGTCGTGTGTTTTCAATTCCGACACTTGAGCACCCGGGATATGTGATAGTACTTCCGAGTCACTAATTTCATCAACGGTCAAGTGCTGAATGATATATTATCGCGAATGTATAATAATAATGTTTAAAAATATATAACAGTCATCAGCTCTTTGAAGTACATCATGTTTCTGACCAGTAACATTCAAAACTCATAAATTTTACACCAAAAAAAAAAAAATTTTTTTCTTTACTTAATCAACTTATATTACAAAAGCGTTTAAATATTATATACTCACTATCTAAAATAATTACATTCACTAAATTTATTTGTTGTAATAAAATAACCGACATTTACAGATCAAGATAGTGAAAAAATATTTCAAAATTATTCCATTAAATATTTAATATATTCCTCAATTTAACGAAAATAAAATAAAATAAATTTTACTGTCATTTTAGCGCTTTTTTTAATTTGATCTGTTAATTTACTGAAACGAGTACAAGATAACATCTTTACCCGATGTTATTATTATCCTTCGACACAAGCGCTCGTCAAATTAGTATTAAAAATTAAAAATGTAATAATTTATTGTAATTACTTGTAAAATTTTTTTATCAATGATTCTACTACCAAATAAAAATTTTAATGCAACAATAAACTGTTTGATGTATTGTCATAAAATTCGCCTGAATAGCCACTAATTTTTGAACGTTGATTGATTGATAAAACAAAAAAGATATCTATCAGAAAAACTTTTTTTAAAAAAACCTAAAGAATAAACAACAATATTTCGCTGAATATCAGAAAAAACCGAGGTTAATCTATATGCGTTGGATATTTTATAAAAATTTATCCATCTGATTGAACTTCCATACTGAGGCTATTTATTAAAATATATGTATTTTTATTTGGTTTTATTATTTTTAAAAAACGTATGCTAATTCAAAGCCTGCGGTCCGTGATCGCCGTATTCATTGGCTCGAAAGAAAACGTGTTATTTCAACAGCGCTAGGTATATACTGTATTCGAAGATTAAAAATATAAAAAACTATAACCACACTTCAACGGTTTGTGTTTTATATTTATTGCTTTAAGCTTCTAAAAAGTATGGAAAATCCAAATCTAAATGAAAGTTCAAAAGCTTTGACAAATTCTACATATTTTTTGATTCAATCACGTTATTATTCTCAAAATGAAAAAAATAAAACTGATTACTGAAATTAGGTATTCGTTATTTCAACAAAAATAATTCATTTAGTCTTTTGATACTTATAATTTCGATGTTTTTCCGTCGACTATTAATTTATTATCTATTTTTTATTATATTACACACACTGATAAAGAATTGGCTTGATTCAAGGCAAAAAATTTTAAGCAGAAAAATTCTTAAATCAAGTAAAGTTAACTTAACTTAAACCAAGAACAAATTCTTAGTTCAAAAATTAATTGCTTGATTAAAAGTAATCAAAATCTCTAAAATAATATTCTTGACTTAAACTTTTCATCCTAATCAAATCAATTTTTTAATTAGTATACTAATTTAAGTGGTACTGGTTTATATCGTATCACTTTTTAACATTGACGTCAATATTAAACCATAGGTTGTATTAAGAAGACTAAAAATCTGGATACACCCACCAATTCATTTTTATACAAAAATAAATAACAATAAAAATGACTTAAAATATTATTAAGGCGTAGAAAAAATAGGATATTAAATTTAAAAACAAAAACTATGACAAACCTTTGCTCAGCCGCTCTATCACGTTGTCTTCTATTTTTGAACCAGTTGCTGACTTGTGTAGTAGTCAACCCAGTGCTTTCAGCCAGTTCGCGTTTCTCTCTTGGTGACGGATACGGATTTGAAGCGTACCACTCTCTCAAAACACTTCTTGACTTTTCTTTGAAACAATAAGACGTTTCTTCTCCGTCCCAAATCGTCCTTGGTAACGGGAACTTCCGTCTCACTCGATATTTTCCTATAAAAAGCCAATTTTATCATCAAATATCAAATTCAAAATTTACATTTACATTTACATCAGCAAACAAGTATGAAAAATAAAATAAAACTTACCAACGGCTCCAAGTGCTCTGCCACGAAGTCTTTCAGCTTCGATGTAATGAGCTTTCAGCCACAGGGCCTGGAGCTTTGGATGATTGTGGGGGCTGAAGGAGTTGCTTTCGAGAATTTGGTAAAGCTGCTTGAAATTACACCGATGAAAGGCGACAATCGCCTTGGCTTTTAGCACACTTTCATGCCGCTGAAGTCGTGCACACTGCGGTAATGACCAGAGAAACCTGCCAAGACGCTCTATGGAACCGGCTTGCTGGAGTACCTGGACAGATGACACCATCGCCTTGAAGACGATAGACAGGAGGGGCACACTGTTAGTCGGCAGAACTCATCCCGATCTCCTCTAACTCTAGTATATCTTGTATATATTATCATAACCGTCACTATCTCTATCGATTACTGATAGTTTATAGATCCTCTACAACCTCTTAATTAACCTCCTGTTATTTTATCATTATTATACTACTATACTACATCTTACTCACTTTGAATTTATTAACAACCTCTATTCTTTATCATCTAAAAAGGATTAACCTTTCATTATTTTATCGCAATACAAGACAACTAGCGCCCACGTCACACGGATCATTAACAAAACAATTGTTTCATTGCTTTTAATATTTACATTCGAGTCCATGGTTTATCATACAGCATTGTTGCTAATTTGAATAATTAAGTGCTCCGTGTGACGAGAGCAAGGAGCTAACACGTAGCCGTTATAAGCGCTAATTATTTATTTATTTTTGACTCTTACTTAATCTAAAGGGTCTAAGAAATTATTTTTAATATTAGTTTATTTTCTCATTTTAATATTTCGTAAGAAAAATGTTTGTCATGGTGAGCTCAAAATTTTGAGAACTTTTTGTTAAAAAATTTAAACTAGAAACTATTGATAAGTTTTGATTAAAATTTGAAATAATTTGTTCTTGATTATTTTGTAAATGTTTTTTTTTTTTTTTTTTTTTTTTTTTTTTTTTTTCAATTCTCTTTTAAAAGTACTTTTAATAAAGATTAAAAAAATGTTAAAGTAAAAAGTTTAATTAAAGTTCTAAACCTTGTAGAATTTTGAACTTGATAATGACGAAACATTTTGAACTTTTTCGAAATTACTTTATTTAGATGGGACTATATTTTATTTATTTTAAAAAGTAAACTATTTTTCTTTTATAAAATTATGAGATCCTTTCATTCATTTGAAAAATAAAAATATTTATGAAAGTAATTCAAATTTAACGTAATGATTTTATTTAATAATAATGAAATGTTTATATGAAGTTACTGTCTGATACGTTGTAAATATTATATTTTTCCAATGAAGAAATAAACATCCTTTTGAATGCACGTATTCATCTACTAACGTCGGATCACTCGCTGACAAACTTAGCGGCTCAAAAATAGTCTTATGAAGATCTAAATGATATAATAAAAACATTTATTTTATTTTTCGTTTGTTATTGGACCGAGAAGTATTGACGAACCCATAAACTTACATTTAAAATTTTAAAATAAAACAATCCTTATTTCGTGTTACATAAATATTTTCAGTGTTTATTTTCATAAAATCAACGTTGATAATCTAACAAAAGAAATAAACAACAATGGATTATTATATCATTCGGTAATTTAATATTCATAAGATAATTTTGAGCAAAAAAATGCATCCGACCATTTGTTTAATTTTGAATGCATGATGAAAAATATTAAAATAAGTTTGTGCTTATATTTAAATAATTCTTTTTATTTAATATTTATTTACATACAAAAACTGGAATTTTACTGTTATCTATTTTTGAAATCATAAAAACAAAGTAGAGATTACAAAAATTTTAATTGCTCACTCCAAACGCTTAATGTTTTATGTTTATATCAAAATCGCCAATTCAAAAATTTTTTTCTATTAGTGATGATTAATTAAAAAGTTTTGGATAATAACTTAAAAAAAATTCCAACAAAAAAGTAGAAAATTAATAAAATTTTGTACAGTAGAGTCTCGTTATGAGTCCTATTTGTTTTCTTTTTTTTAAATCAAGCTTGCGTTAATATGAGAGAGACACTAATAGGACTCATAGCGACACTCGACTGTCTAATTAAAATTATTAAAAAAAAAATCATTTTCTCAAATAAAAGAATCAAAGAGCTGTCAGATTTATATCATGAAGAGAAAAAAATAGTTTTGATCCTTATTGTACAGTAGAATAATAACTATTACTATATTATATGGTAATAAAGATTTGTATGAGAATCCTCATACAAAAAAACATAAACAAAATTAAGAGTCTCCGGTACTGAGCGGCTGCTATCGTTATTTAGCGTCGGCGCGCTCATGTGACAAAATAATCATCAGATCAGAACTATTATTTTCTCTCCTAATTGTCTTTTTTTTATTTTTTTTTTATTTTTACATTAGATAAAAATATTTTTCTTCAAAGTTCAAATTGATACATTTTTTAGACAACATCATCATACAAATAAAAATTTTGCCAAGATTAAACTCAAGAAAATTATAACGGATCACAAAACAGAAAGTGTTTGAGGTGTACAATAAAATTACTAAAAAAAAATCCATCTATAGATCCGAAAAGAATTTATTAAATATGAGTGTAACTCTCGAAATAGTTTTCCCAGTCAAGTCCCAAAACTATTTACATACATATGTATATATTTACGGAGCCTACATGAGTCAGTCGGCGACCGAATTTTCCTGAGCATATATGAAGAACAAAACAAACAAGCCAAAAGAACAAGGACTAACCTCACAAACGCAGGCAACTTGCTCCTGAGTAAACCCGAAGGTGGGCAGCTTTTCATTATTATTGGCACTGGCTCCAGCAGAGCTGGCAGGACTGTCTTGGGGGCTGTAAGTGGTAAGGGGGGCCCCGGCACTCCCGGGTATATTGTAGGTGCCAGCAGGATCGACGGACCCCGTAGGGTGACCACCCAGGGAGTTGGGGGTACCCTGGGGACTGTAATCACCAGTTGAACCGAGCACATCAGCTCCCGAAGAGGGTCCCATAGCGCCACTGGTCCCCACGGCACCACCGTAGCCCATCATCACCTCATTGGGGCCAACAACGCCCCCAGGTACACCGTTACCTCCACCCTCCACTGTGAACTTGACACCTTCTCCACACACTCTCACCAACACTTTGTTGATTCTTTACTTTATCAATCTTTAGTGCTCTCTTTTTACAAAAGTCCCGAAAATCTCAAACTATTTTCCTTCTGCCTTGTATTTTCTCAACCCTTTCAAAATTCACTACCCAAAGTCCTTATATTCCATCAGTGAACACCCAAAATTTCAGCATTGTTCACGACATATAACTGCATGCTCACATATAAACAAGTGATTTTTCAAATTTTTACAATATATTCTTGAAAAACTTTAGCGACATTCGAGAAATAAAATAAAAAATACAAGTTTAACTTTATATAGAGTTAATATAAGTATACACGAACTTTTAAAAGGTGGATATTTTTAGTCGAGGCACTGGTGCTGCTGGCTCTTACTCTGTATCTGCCTACTATCGCGTATTCTAATACCAGGGATATTTCTCGAATTACCAAACTACAGCGAGGTCAACTACAATTATTGTCTAATCCGTTGGCCTCCTTTGCTTCTTATTAAAAATATTACTTCACTCATGTACGATTTAATTGTTGTCTTGTATTACTAGTGTATTTCTAGCTGATTAATCCCACCGGATTTAGTGTCTAGCGACAATCTAGGATTTATAACTTTTTTTTTTCCCTTACAACAGTAATAGGCTATTTTACAGGTTGTAATAAGGATATATATACATGGAGGAAGATGTATATGACCGCAGTAGCTTGAGATGTGAATATACGGTATTTATAGACTCATATTCTCGTCTCTCTACTTCCTAAATATATTTTTCTCAAGCGAACCAGCACTCTATTATTAGTTCAGCCACTAGCGAGAATGTGATATCCCAACTCGAATATCGAATTAAACATTTTGTTTTTTTTACGAAAAGCTCTTTTAGATCCACATGTAACACTTTTCATAACGTTCTTCGATATTTATTTTAAAGATGATTTCATATACGACACAATATTTTAAACACACCAAATAAATTCACAAAATAGAGCACTAATCTATTGGTATTGTATGTTCAAAATAGTGACTTTGATGATTATTGATGATGAATATTAGTCGTCGTCATCACAATTGTGATTATTTATTGTTACAATGATCATCCCTGGCTAGTCCACTTTAGGCGATGATAAAAACAGCACTTTACTGAGCGTTACAACACACAGAGTCACCACTGTGATGACGTTCGCTAACGCACGCATGTGAGACGACTGGTTCGCGCACAACATCTTAACTGCTCCGCTTCAGCATCCGCGTGCCTCCACCAGATCACACATTGGTGGAGGCGGCGCATTTCAGCATGTTCAGGGCCCAGGAATAAAAATTTCCATTGGTTAGCAGGCGTGGTTCACTTTGGAACGCCTCTGTACTATTGGCTGCTGACAAAGGTTACCAAGTAACAAACTTGTTGTTAAACCCACTATTTTACCCTTTCGCAAAAGCGAATCCTGATAAAAAGTTAAGGGTATGAGCATGTGACTCAGAACTTTTGTATGTGACTCCAACCTCTGCCTTTTGTTCATTTGCACCAGGATATTTTGTTGCTATTGTAGATATTTTTGTACAATATATTCATGGACCATTTTTGTTATCTAACATTTTTGTGTTTATCAAGACAATACTTATACTTATAAAAAAAGGTGAAATTTCAATTTTTCAATGTATTATTGAAGTTTTTGATAGTAATTCCAGGATAAGGGAGGTAAAAAGTCTGATATAAAATTTATTTGTCAAAATACCGCCTGATATTTTGAAGATTTAAGAAATACCATTGATATTTGTCAGTAACTTTATTAATTTACTTGGAGCGAGGAAATTTTCTTTGCTCCAAAAATTGTTCTGACTTAAAAATAATTTTTTCCTTCATAAATATTTTTTTTTATTTAAGAAAATTTTTCTCTCTACTCAAAAATTGAATTTTTCTCTGCAAAGATCTTTCTCTAGAAAATAAAATCTACTTGGCACAAAAAATACTTGAAATTTGGTGAAATGAATTGGAAACCAGTCAAATTTACATAAATATAACGATATTAATATTTTTAGTCAAAATCAAGAAATGATTAATAACACTGATAGATATAGTTATAAACAGTCGAATTATTTGAAAACATCACAATGAGTTCATTAATATGTAAAATAAAATGCGCATCAAATGAATAAAAGGCTTGATATATTTTGAATGCAAACTAAAAAATAACTAACCAAACCAAGAAAATTAAATATTGAACGTTGTATTTTTAAGAGTACGGGTAACTGCTTCAAAAAAATATAGAATCTAATAAAGGAAAAGCAAGTTCCCGAATGATATGTGTACTCAGCTCGCGACTTTTCTGCTCCACAAACACAGAATGTTTTTTCAGATTAAAAAGAAAAATTAAAAAAGAAAATATGTGTCATGTCGGAAGTTTTCAAAATAAAAGCTTATCTAAGTTTTCGGGTACCCAGTTGATAGGTTAAAAACCAGATTTCAGGGACTGGAATCCTTTCCGCCGGCACAAGAGAAAAGGAGAAAGAAGGGAAAACATCAGGCCCTGACAGAAGAACAGTCGAGCCGTTTGTTTTACGCATGCAACTAAACCTTCTTCCCCGCATTGAGCCAGTTTGATTGACACGGGACGACGTGGATGTCTGGTGTCACTGATAGAACTTCTTCCACGTGTTAAAGATTCAGCCTCTTCATCGGTTTTTTTTCTTTATTTCATTTCAAGAATTCATCTTTAGAAGTTTTTATTTACAGCTCAATTTTGAATGCATGACTATTATATCAATTAATGGGGCATTCCAGGCTGAATCGAATACTTTTTAACCCCAGCCGGAATTTTGAAAAAAAAGTCTAGATAAGTCAATTTTTTTACAAATCTACACTACAGATATATAAAAATAAAAAAGGCTTTTTAAAAATTCATAACTATTTTTTAGTTGGGTAAAAAAAAATTTGAAAAAATTCTGAGAAACGCCTTTAATGAGATAAAAAAAAGAAAAAAATTTTCAGTGAAATCAAAAGGGCTCGGGTTCAAAAAAGGCCAATTTGAAGTGGAATGCCCTATATATAAATATAACATTTAATTACAGTGAATATATAAATAGTTTATTCAAAAAACTCATATAGACAGTTGGAAAAAGTATGAGGTAAAAGCAGTAGCATATGTTTATTTTTTTTTTCCACAAATCACACCTGAATAACTGACATATTTTATATCCAATTTGTGTTCGAAAAACCAAGACCACTGCATTGGGATATCCTGCTGTGAACTCTTTCAACAGAGCCGTCAGACAGAGTGCTTCTGAAATCTCTTTCGCTTTCTTTTATATTCTTTATATATATGTATACATAATAACTATATAACTCACATATATCATAATCTTTCAAAATTTAAATCCAAACTACTCTGACCCTTGAGTATTAGGCAGAGGAGCATATGTCAGCTGATGATAAAATAAGATTGGATTTAAAAATTAAATTATCATAAAATTAGTTCATTATACTAATTCTCTACAATAGAAAGATTTTTAAGTGTTAATTTGTTGAAACTGAAAACGATTTAAAATTCTGATTGTAACTTATTTACTTTTCTTAGGGAATTCAATTTCGCGTTTTGTTAATCGGACTAGAAATTTTTACGTGTAAATTTGCTATGTGCCTGACAAATTCTACTTTAATTTTCAAAACTTGTACATTGTAAGAATTTTTTTGGACTCAGTGAGGTATAAATTACTTGTGAAAATTTTTGATTCGTATTATGTAAAACTTACACCAAACACTGTATTAAATTTAGATGGTGACAATTTAAATATTTGTCCGTCAAACGTGTGAATGTATTGGTGATTATGGATTTATATTTTGAATATAAAAGTTGTATGATTTAAATGTTTTGCCATTTTTTGAAGTCTATTTATCCATGTCGGATGTAACTATCCAAAATTGCGCTTTTTGATTTAAAAAAAAAATTATGAGGATCAAAATATGTTTATAATTTTGACTCGAGTTTACTTGATAAAAAAACAATAAATAATCACGAAAGATAATAAATTCACGAATACATAATACATTAAGTATAATAGAAGCAATAAATGATGAACATATGTACATTAATTCCCATGTTGTTCTGATGACCAACGGAAGAAAAATCCATTCGATATTATTGCACAACAATGCGAACTAGGGAACAGTATCCCTTTTTAAAAAAAAGACAGAGGATATAAAAGAATGAAGCAAAAATGAGTGAACAGCAGATAGAAAAACCGTAAAAGAGAGCATCTAATAAAGTAAAAGTAAAAAGTACAATATGTTTACATGCGTATATACACATATATTGGTTTCCCATGTAAGAAATAAGAGCGTAGATCTGCTACGAGGAAATTATACTTTAGGGAGAAACTCATCACTACAGAAGCAGTACATGTTATTTCGCTTGTCAACTGCTATCGTTTGTCTACAAAAGCTTTACAGAGGCGCCAGGTATACGGTCCGGTTTTGAAGGGGCCTCATGGCGAGTCTGAATACCCACGTAATTGCGCCACGTCCTGGGACCTATTCACGTCATTGCATTTTCAACTAGCTTAAATATATAATATAAAGCAATCCTAGCATTTACGTATGCGGTGTATATCCCGCTATGAAATAACCGATGAACAACCAACGATTCTTATTGTGTTTATCTCAAAAGTGTTGAGGTTAACTACATTGTTGGTGCCTGTCAAAGATTCAATCTCAAAATCATTACAAAAAAACCCATATCATCGCAAAATTATGATCGAAGAGCCTACATTCTGACACATTCTCTCGTAATTATTCACTACATCGTTTTCTAATGACGTCATGACAAATTGGTTGGGATACTTCGATTTTGGAATTATAACTATCAACATTTTTTAAAGAATTCAATTATTGTTTCAAAGTCAAAGCACAGCTTGTTGTTGTCAAAATTGCACCATATGACTTCTGTCTTCTGACATGCAGGATGCATCTTCAAGTCAGTTTGCTATTTCACATGTTGAAAATATAACAGTATACCTGCTTCGTAATTCTTGTGTAACAA